CTTGGGGGCTTCGTAGCATATGACCCGTCCATCTCCACTTCATTTGGTCTATCTTGGTGAGAATATCTGTCACACCTGTTCTTGCTCTTAAGTATGTGTTTCTTTGCTTATCTATTTTTCTGATTATTAGCATGCCCCGTTCAATTACTCTTTGACAGTGTTCGAGCATATCTCTGTGCTGCTTAGAAAGTGCCCAAGTTTCGCAGCCATAAGTAAGGCATGGGAGAATACAGGTGTTAAAAGACCCTGCTCTTAATTTTTTTACTAAAATCTGTAGATTTTATAATCTCTTTCAGTGACCAATATCTTTTCCATCCATTGGCTATTCTCCTTTTGACTTCTTTGGTAGTTAAATCCATTAGTGAGATTATTTGTCCCGAATATATGTATTCCTCTACATACTCGATAGGTTTGTTATTGATTTTTATTTCATATGGGATTGAATTTGATAGTGACTTTGTTTTGCTTGCGTTCATTGCCAGCCCAGCATGCAGAGTAGAATCACTCAAAATATTTTTTTGCTTTGTCTCTTTTCTAGTTTTCGCATGAATAATTTGATTTTGAAGTTTGGTATAGTTGTTTCTTATGTCAGGTCCTTCTATTTTTTCGTTATCTCTGATCTGAATTGCAAATTGACATGAGGTTGGTTCCTTAGTTCCTGTGATATGGGTTCCGCTGTATAGAGTAATGTGTTTTCTGTGGGTCTTAGGAGGCGCCATTTTAAGTGATGCTCTGATCATGCGATGGGACGCACTCACGCACGCACGCACACACGCACGCACACACGCACGCCCGCACGTCCACGCAGATATAAAAACCATTTAATTATGTTTATAATTTATCTTTATATTACCTACATATTTTGGTATGACTATTACGAGCGATCAAGCCACGTCAAGCACCCAATTTCATACATCTCCTTTAAGTTGCTATTTTATTCACCTTTATTACCTGTTACCTACCAAACCCACCATGATCCAAACTTCATAGTAGCCCATCTACCTATGTTGAGAGCATGCGCTAAGAAATTTTCAGCTTTTATAAAATAAGGAAGGTCTGGAATTCACGGGCTCTTCTTGTATAATAATCTATAACGTATTTAAGGGGTGATACGTGTGATATATATGTGTATATATATATATATATATATCTATGTATATATATATATATGTACATATATATGTATATATATATATACATAGATATATATATGTATATATATATATTTTAGATAATTAATGCCGGTTCACGTGCACGCAATCAAGTGTGAAACAATTTAAACCGATGGCGCTGTGTGAATCTTACATTCGTCGGTCAACCGGGTGTTTGACCGATCGTGCATAGCCTACAGTCTATGTCTGTGAGAGTAGTTCGCCATGAGTCGAATTTTGAGATGCGTAATTGTTTTTTTATTAGCAGACAGCACAATGGTCAATTTTAGGGTGCTTGCGACAGTCGCGAAGTCGTTTGCCGAGCACGCCGTGGTCCCTGACGTCGTGCCAGTGGCCCCGAACGCCCTGTTGAAGGTTAGTGTTTATTTTGTTATTGATATTTTGTTTTCCAAAACTTGTATAATGGCCAAATACGAGCAAACGCTACTCAATTTTAAAATTTCGTTAAGTCTCGTTGTGCCACAGGTACTTTGACTTAAAGTGATAGAGACACTCAGAGACTTAACATATTTGGGCATCAATCGAGTGACAAACTTTTGTTTACCTAATGATAAGTTACTACTGTACCGTAAAGACGCTGGAGTCAAAATAACATCAATAAGATTGCTGCGAAGGTGAACGATGAAGAAGAAATGGAACACCTCATAGAATATTCTCCTTACCCTATAAGCTTAAACACGTCAGTGCGTTCCTGCTCAGTTAATTCAAAATAGTTTTTTTTCGACGTAAGATTTTACCGTAGGTTTTTTCTAACATCTATTTTTTTAACATGCTTTTATAAGTTGGACCTGTATGTATTTATAAATGTAATGTAGTTTGTAATTAAGTTTTCACCCACTTCTGGACGTCTAAATCACCCGAAATTGATGAGGTATTAAGAACCGATTGTTATAGAATATTTTCACAACAATAGCCTATTCTTACTAGGATCCTCATAGCTCGTTATCACGGCGTGTTGTTTAAGTTTAAACTCTAAATTTGTTATAAAGTGGTGACTAAACCGTCGTGAGACCATGCGCTTAATTTTAAACAGCTTTATGCTATTCATAATTTAAAACAATCAGAATTTTTACCTTTTAATTGTTTTATCATCACGTTACATTTTACTAAGTTTTATCGTTTATTACCACCACATTATTCTGTTCTTGACTGGCTGGTTGGCTAGTAATTGTAACCGTGGTTGCTAATCATGACCCTGTGTTTAAAGTGATTTGAATGTTTCTTTTAATTAGTCTACATATATATTTAAAAAAATTGTATAGGTGAACTCTAAATAAATATTTTGATAATTGTTTGTGAATCGTAGGTATATGCTGAGTTAGATTCTTGCGTGGTAAACGCATAGATCGTACGTTGAGTGGAAAACATAAGTGGATTGTAAGTTGTAGTCATACACAAGTTTTCTTCTTTTTAGTGCATTCACGCAAACACAGTCAAGTTTTTTTCTTTTTAGTGCATTTTTTGTTTTCGAATATTTTTATGAAGTCGGTTTTTTACTTTGTTAAAATTTTGGTTTATTTCTCTATTTTTAGTGAACCTGAAATACGATAACTGATTTCATTTGTCCGAATATGGGTAGACTACTAAACGCACTGTTTGTGTTAGAAAGCGCCGTTTAAATGAGACAAACAAAGAAAGGGAGCAATGCCTATCTCAAAAAGAATTCGTCGTGGGTATGTGAAAGTATGAATCGAGCATTAACTTGGTAAATTATCATTATCCAATAACTTCTTTACAGAGATGTTCAGGTGCAATTTGAAACTACCCTAAGCATTACACATGTAGTAAAAATAGCTGAAAATTCTATTCCCGAACAGGATGGTGTTGCTTTTGAAACTTCCTCAACACATTATGTTACTTTAAATGACAACAAGGCAATATTATGTGGATTATTTAAAAAAAGTGATTTATATTTGAATTTATCTTGGGGTGAGCAATGTACTGGGATAGCGGCTGTTGCTTGTGCAGCATTTAGTGTATTAGATTCAAACACGTGACCCCAAAGTGATATCGATTACATTGTAATTATTGGCGATAAATACTACAATGACTGCATCGCTGCTAGAAATAATCCTGCGCCCTGCAAGGTAAACCCTGAGTACCTCTTTGTAACAGATCTTAGTCCAAGACTTATACATATTAGATAAAATTTAGTGATGACAGTACTTGAGTAAACCAATCATAATGGTCACATAGAATGACAACACTTCCGCTGGGTTCCCTAACTTAAAAAAGTGCATTATTAAGCTTGTTGTATGCAATTCAGTGAACTGGACGATTTGCATACCATTTTACGTCCCAATTTATTTGAGTCGCCAAATAAAGTGCCAGAAGGAAACTTTCGGGATAATCTTAATATATTCTCGTTAGTATCATTATTTATAGCTCCAGACACCCAAATACAATCGTTTACGTCCGTATTGGAACAATCGATAATAATAAGAATAGAGAATTCAACATTTACATCAATGATTCTTAACATCAACACAAGTCATGCAGTATCTCCAAAAACAATTCCACTAACTACTAATGGTAATTGTAAAGCTGTTAAAAATCCACTGTCAGTAGATGACATCCAATACGTTACCCGAGTAGCTAAGCTGAATAAAAATGCCGATAAGCCGCGGTCTGTTATTGTTAAGCTTCGTACCATGAAGCATAGAGATGCTATCCTAGCAGCTGTTGCACTATTTAATAAAAAAAATCCCGAAGATAAATTAAACTTTCACCATCTAGGAATTGGAGGATCTCGAGTTCCAATATACGTCTCAGAGCATTTAATCCCAGAAAATAAACACCTTCATGCCGCTGCGCGCATAAAATCCAAAGAAATGAAATATCGCTTCATATGGATTAGGAATGGAAAAAATTTACGTACGCAAAGATGAATTTAGTCAAGCAATAATAATTAAAAATGAAGATAGTCTTAAGCTCATAATATAAGTTAAGAAAATGTGTGAATGTTATGGCTCCTGAATTTCTGCAGTGTTAGAAGTCTATTATCAGAACGTGCGAGGTTTGAGAACTAAAACCTATGATGTGCTCAAGAATATTTTGATTTCGAATTATAAAATTATTGTATTTACTGAGACTTGGCTTAAGCCTAGTATTTTTGATAATGAACTATTTGATTCCCGTTATGTTGTCTATAGAAAAGATCGTGTGTGTCTTGATGCGTCCAAAAAGGATGATGGAGGTGTTCTCATTGCCATCTCACGTGAGATCTCGTCTTATCGTATTCTAAATTGGGAAAACGATGAAGAGAATATATGGATAGTGTTAAAATTCAATAACAATCATGTCACAAAAACTATTGGACTTTGTGTAGTCTATTTGCCTCCACCAGTTAAACTAGAAAATCTAAAGAAGTTTTTAGATAGTGTAGATAATGTTACCAACCACGTTGATGATTTAGTTGTTATAGGTGACTTTAATATGGGTTTTATTGAGTGGTCTGGTAGTGATAAATATTCATATATGACCCCATGTAATTATTGTAATGCTCTAGGATACTCATTAGTTGACTTCATGTCTATTAATAATTTACATCAATATAACTGTATAAGTAACTGTGATGGTAAACTTTTGGACTTGGTGCTAAGTAATTTAACAAACATTATAGTTCGAAAGCCTTCTGAAATACTTAGTAAACTGGATTAATACCATCCTAGTTTGTTAATAAGTATAGAATACGATCATATTTCTTTCCTTTGTTCTAAAAGTCGTATCGACTACAGATACTTTAAGGCTGATTATAAAACTATTGTTGAGAAAATTAAAAATATTGATTGATTGCATGAATTTTCTGTATGCAAAGATGTCGATGCAATGGTTGAAGTATTTTATAATCGTCTCTTTGAAGTTATCGATTTATCAGTACCTAAACGTAAGACTATTTCAGCAAAACATCCTAACTGGTTCAAACGTAGCTTGGTTAAATTATTATCAGAGAAAGAAAAAGTTCGCAATAAATATCACAAATACAATAACCCTAGAGATAATATAGAATTTCAAATACTTCGCAGTCGATGTCACAAACTCTTTGTTTCATGCTTTAACGATTTTAAACACAATGCAGAGTCTGATATTTCAAAAAACCCAAAACACTTTTGGAAATACTTTAAACATAAAAAGAAAGGTGAGTTATCTCTACCCTCGTCCATGAAATTGGATAACAAAGTTGCAAAGTCTGGAACGGAAATAGCCAATCTTTTTGCAACCCATTTCTCATCCATTTACACCGAAATATCTCATATCATGACGGCAAACTTTAAACAAAAAAGCAATGTTACGCAATTGAGTAAGTTGAAGATTTCTGAAACAGATGTCCAAAAAATAATTAAAACTTTAGATACTCAAAAAGGTGCGGGTCCAGATAGTATCCCTCCAATTTTGTAAAACGTTGTGGCCCAAAAATTGCTTTTCCATTGATACTTATTTTTAATCGTTCCCTAGAATACGGTATGTTCCCTGAGGAATGGAAAAAATCACGAATAGTTCCAGTGTTTAAAAAGGGTGATCGCATGAATATAAAAAATTATCGCCCTATATCAATTCTTTCTTGCTTTTCCAAACTATTTGAAAGTCTTGTATACCCAGCTTTTGCCAAGCACCTTGATGATTTTCTTACCAGCTCGCAGCATGGATTCAGAAGTGGATTGTCAGTACAAACTAATTTGTGTAATTTTACTTCTGATCTTATAAAAGAAGTAGATAGGGGTCTGGAGATCGACGTCATATACATGGACTTTAGCAGCGCATTCGACAAGGTTGATCATAAGCAACTCATTAACAAACTTTCTCTATATGGTATTGGTCCCCCCTTGATTGGATGGTTTAGATCTTATCTGGAGAATAGATCCCAAATTGTTGTTGTCAATGGTTTCGAGTCTCAAATGTATCGAGCTCAATCCGGGGTGCCTCAAGGTTCGCATCTGGGCCCTCTATTATTCTTGGCTTTTATTAACGACATCACCACAGAAATCAAAAATTGTCGTTGCTCGTTATTTGCTGATGATTTAAAAATTTATAAACCAGTAAAATCAGTAGAGGATATAAAGCTCATACAGGATGATCTGAATAGAATATCTCATTGGTGTGAGGTCAATAGTATGACTCTTAATGCTAACAAATGCTTCCACGTAAAATATACCAGAAAAAAACAAACCACTTGTCTCTAGTTACTCAGTTGGTAATGTAGTTTTGCAAGAGTTACCGGAGATTAAAGACTTAGGAGTAACTATTGACAGAAAGCTAACCTTTAAATCTCATATAAACATTATTGTTAATAAAGCCGCGAAGTTCTTAGGATTTATTAAACGCAATACAAAAGGGTTTTCTTCTAGGACTAAAATTATTTTATACAATGCTTTTGTAAGAAGTCACTTTGAATTCGCTAGTGTCATATGGAATCCATCTTTTAGTGTGCACTCCCAACGCGTCGAAAGTGTACAGCGTGCCTTCACTCGACATCTTGCCTTCCATGCCAGTGGTATCTCACATAGGCAGCCTTACTATTAGCGACTGGCTAAGTTTAAGATAATGTCTCTCCGAAATAGACGAGACATTCTAGATCTGTGTTTTCTACATAAAATAGTACACAATAAAGTTAAGTGCAGTGACCTTCTTGATCGCATATTGTTAGCTGTTCCGCGTAAATATCCCCGTTGTCGCATCTTCGAACACGAAAACTCATCTCGGGAATCATGCTCTTATTGTTCGTATATGTGGCAAATATAACGAAATAACTAAAACCATACCTAGCATCGATATATTTCACGACTCTTTTAAGACCTTCAAAATGAAACTTACTAGGCATTTATCGCCTAGTTAATTAGTTCCTGTTAAAAATTATATTTCTAATAGAATCTATTTTATATTTAAATTAAAAATGTACATACTTCTAAAGAGAGTACAATATCTACCATTTTCTTTCCCAATAATTGAACATAGTTTCTTTTTTTTTCATTTGATTTTTTTACCTATTTAGTAACATAATTTACTTAAATTATTTCTCATTTTATTGCATTGGTTGTATATTTTTCCTACCTCAAATTAATTCTAAATTAAGTTGCACGACTCAATCTGTAAATGTTATGTACATTTGTAATTGATATGCATATCAGAAAATATAAAAGTGTGTAAGTTTTTGTGACAATGTCATATATGTATGTTGTAAGTGTACTTGTTAAATAAATAAATAAGTAACTGAAAATGGGTTGCATTTTCAGTTACAATTACCAGTCCATAATCCTTGAGAAACATTTATATCAATTAAAAAGTATGCTCTAAACTTGTTAAATAAATAAATAAGTAACTGAAAATGGGTTGCATTTTCAGTTACAATTACCAGTCCATAATCCTTGAGAAACATTTATATCAATTAAAAAGTATGCTCTAAACTTGTTAAATAAATAAATAAGTAACTGAAAATGGGTTGCATTTTCAGTTACAATTACCAGTCCATAATCCTTGAGAAACATTTATATCAATTAAAAAGTATGCTCTAAACTTGTTAAATAAATAAATAAGTAACTGAAAATGGGTTGCATTTTCAGTTACAATTACCAGTCCATAATCCTTGAGAAACATTTATATCAAATAAAAAGTATGCTCTAAAACGTAGACGATAATGAACCTAATAAGAAAGTAGAACCTAGAAAGTGGTGTTAATATAAACAGCTCTTCAACCGATGATACAATGAGATTGGCCGCAATCACAAGGAAAACTGCACCGCCCTTTAATTTGGAATGTGATCACTGATCACTTTATGGAGGAATTATGTTGGTGTTTTCTTTTTCCCAAAAGCAAGAATGGCTTTGGTGAAAAAAGAGAAAGTGCGCCCCTTTGATTACTTCCAAAACCGGGTAATGAGTGTTGGCAAGAGGTTCAACGGAAATTATTATTTATTTTATGCTCTATCTACTGTTGAATATTTTCGTGCGAAATCAAGTGTATCTGTGTCATGTAGGATGCAACATGTTCATGGAGAGCAAACACTATGAGATGTATTACACTATGAGAAATATTCGAGGATTGGCATCATATTGGCAGAAATGTTGCTCTGAATTGATTGCAATGATTAGAACTATAGTTATTCCCACATGGTTTTTAACATTTTCCTGCAATGATTTAAAATGGTCAGTCATGATAAAAGCCTTGCTAATCGCCGATGGACGTAACATCGATGACGTCCATCGCCTGTCATGCCCGGAGCGCTGAATCTAGTGCTAAAACATCCGGTGTTGTTAGCACGACATATTGCGTGTTAACGCTCATATTCTCAAAGAGAAATAAAGATAACTATTTTAAATAAACGCTTGATTAGTGCACCCGAATGCGCATATAAATTATACCATTTGCCATTGAAAATGTCGCCGCGAAAGACTGTTTGTAATTAGTTGCAGGCCGGAGGAATGAACTTCTGGGATTTGACAGTTTTAATTTTCGACCGTGATGTATTACGACCAACCGAGTTGGAAGAATTTAAACCTTGCGGAATTTGCCGCCCGTTTTAAAACAGTCTCTAACACGACATGGTCAGATGACAATGGGGATGCGGAACTGAGAGACGAAGATATAACACAAGTGAGATATATCAGATTGCAGCAATATATGAGAATGCGTGTAAGAAATAAACCGGCAGTATTACGTACCCGATATTTTTTTAATAGGATAAGGGTTTGTCACTGTTATACAATTAATAGTGACAAAGAAGCATATTATTACAGTTTAGTAGAATGCCACATACCATTTCGTGATAAAGGCGAGTTACTGTTCGAAAATGATATCGCCGAAGACTGTTTTATAAGATGAATAGAATAGAATAGAATAGAATAGAATAATTTTTTATTCAATATCGATTATTACATAATTCTTATTGAAAGTCATTTTTTATCTACCACTGGTTCGGAAAATACCTCTGTGGCGATCACCTTATTCTCAGGAGTTATTTTCATTCATGTATTCCTTGATATTATAATAACCCTTTTTGTACAGTTTTTCTTTAATAAAACTTTTAAACTTGTTTATTGACAAACTTTGAATATGTTCTGGGATTTTGCTGTAAAAGCGTATACATTGCCCCATAAATGAATTACTGATTCTGTGGAGTCTAGTAACTGGTATTACAAGCTTATGTTTGTTCCTAGTATTTAAAGTATGCACATCCTTATTCTTATTAAAGCTATTTATATTTTTATGTACATACATTACATTTTCATAAATATATTGCGATGCCAAAGTTAGTATGTTTATTTCTTTAAATTTTAGTCTGAGGGAGTCTTTACAATTTAGGTTGTTAATCGCCCGAACGGCTCTCTTTTGCAAAACAAATATAGCTTCAATATCAGTCGCATTACCCCATAGCGAAATTCCATAAGACATTACGCTATGAAAGTAACTAAAATACACTAATCTAGCTGTCTCAACATCTGTGAGACTTCTAATCTTTCTTACAGCATATGCTGCAAAAATAAGTCTGCTTGCTAATTTAGATATAATTCATTAAATCAGGAAACACACCAGAATCGATACAAGTATTAAAAATAATAGCAAGATGAGAAATCTATTATGGACGCAATAACTGTCACGGAAATCCCCCACGAATCTGCGGTTTTCTTTACATCAATGGTTTTGAAGTATTTTACAATATCTTGCGGTAATACTTTTTCAAATCTAAATTCTTCTAAACAGGTATTAACATTCTGTTTGAGTAATGACTCGGCGACAGTTGGAGAAATATTCAATGACTCTGTTGTCAAGATAGGAATATCCGTGAAATATTTCTCAAACACCGCTGCGACTTCTTGATTTAATTTAGTCAATTCATTTCATTGGTGCCAAAGAAATCTTCGCCCATTGCAGGTAACGTCAACGCAGAACAATTTGTTCGTGCTGAACTAATTATTCAACACAATACAGCGCAAGCTACCGCGCTTAATGCTGCGCGTGAAACTGATGTCAGAAATGCTCCCATGTTACGTGTTGATAAAAAAATTGTCGAGGACAATGATACATTTTGTGAAGACATGGAAGAACGAGCTGTCATGTCAGATGAATATTTTCTAGGAAGCATTCGAGGATTAAATATCCAACAAAGGGATTTATTTCAGAAAGTTTCAACGACAATCGAAAACGATTTGCATAGACAAGAAAGTCAGCAATTACTTTTTATTACGGGCGGCGTAGGTAGTGTTAAATCGTTTTTGCTGAAATTAATCGTTGTAATCCACCAACAGTGGATATGCTACTGAAACCTAACTTTGTGGAAGTTGGGTCGTTAACTGGGGTTTTAATATCTTTTGCTAAAATAATAAAATACTATGTCTTAGCTAGTTTGAAGAGCACCTCCTACCCTTCCCCAGTTACTGGCACTATCCCAGTCACCACTAATCCTTATTAATTTTTAATATCTGTAATGACATATTAGGAAATGCAAGGCGTAGCGAAGAGTGCACGCCTTGCAATACATAACGCAGTGTTGGTACCGACTTTGTTATATGGCAGCGAAACCTGGGTATGCCAGAAGAAGCATAAAAGTAAGTTGATTGCAGTGGAGATGCGATCTCTTCGTAAAATGTGCGGCGTTACCATGGCCGACCGAAAGCGAAACGAAGAGATTCGCAATATGGCAGGTTTGAAAGATGACCTTATCACAAAAATTGATAAGGGCGTGCTTCGGTGGTTTGGGCACGTTGAGCGAATGAGTGAAAACCGAATGGTGAAGAAAATATATAGCGCGAAAGTTAATATTAAAAGCTGTCGAGGTAGACCGAGACTAACTTTCGAAGACCATGTGAGCAAATTGCTCGAAGAGGGTAGGGTCAAAAGTACTCGGATAGCTAGACGTGCATGCATGAAGAAGATAATGAATCTGAAAGAAGCGAAAGAGGTTTGTAAGGATCGTGACACTTGGCGATCTGTTCTCTCTGGCTACCCCGTCAGGGATTGTGCGTGAAGATAAGTAAAGTAAAGGAAATCGATAAATGCAGGTGGCTCAGGTCTTTGCTTTGTGGTATTCTTTGGTCGAAGCCTATTTGTAGTTCGGAGCTATTCTATATATACTTCTTTAACTTCGGAACTTTTGTAGCGCGATTTAGACTTTGATGTGTTTCATCACCCCCCTGCTCAGACCGGAGGTCGATAGTGCAGTCTAAATGTCGACGAATTTGCAAGTGCCAGGGAATTGCCTTGTAAGTCTGCGGTGAGTCGAGAAGATGGCAAGTAATCTGCGAGAGTGCCGTGAAGCAGAGACGAGCAGTAAGGCTCAGAGCCGTGCCGAACACTGTAGCGCAGAGAGTAGCTTGAAGGAAGAGGAATCATTATTATTCCAGTGCTGCGATGAACCTTTGTAAAGCTAGATGGCTTGCAGAATGTGAACACTGCAGACAATATCTGCTCGGGAGCGAATGAATGGGGTACTTGAGGATGATGACGAAGATTTGAAGTTATAGTTTTCCGAAGGTTGTTAGTTGCGTGTTCAGATCACGTCGAGTGGTCACCTGTGTGGCGGGTGGAAAGAAAAGGGGAGATCTCCCGCCGGGCAAGGTGTTCTGCCCGGGGAGCGGCCAACGCTCCGAGTGGTAGTTCGGAGCTATTCTATATATATACTGCTTTAACTTCGGAACTTTGTTAGCGTGATTTAGGCTTCGATGTGTTTCGCTTATGGCGCGACGACAGTGCCGTTACACAATGATTATAAAGTTCATTTAGATAATCTAGCTCTAAAAACACAAGTTGGTAACACTAGTTTTGAGTCCACTGGTATGTCAATCAAATATCAAATGTTTCATTTAAGTTAGCTGTAGTTCTCGATCTCTTGCCAGAGAGTTGTATGTTCCTTGATCGATATCGTCCCGTGGGTGACGTAAGAGGCTACGGAGGGAAATAAACCAGGAGATGGACAGCAGCGTTTTCCAAATAATACCAAAAAATAAAAAATTGCGGCTACCATCCCGCCTGCTAATTGTGGCAACTATGGTAATGGTAAATATCAGTCCTATGAGGCGATCTAAGGGCTATGTTCAGCATTGGACTTTTGTTAGGCTGTAACGGGAACGGTAGTTGTCCATAGATGTTCTGCAGCGGCAACGCATGGTCAGATCACAAACAATTGGTTTACACAATTGGTCATTGCGTAATTTCAACTGATACGATCTTGCATTTACACTTATATAATAATTTTTGTTGTCCGGAAGTCTGGTGTTTAAAGAGGGCATTGAGAATCCGAAAATAATTTGTGTGCTTTAAAATTAGAATAATTAACTACATTGAGTGACTTTATGACAATTTTTAAACAACAATAATAAAAGGCAGCTTTGTCATATGTGTAGGAACGGATCTTCACCTACATCTATTATATTGAGTACTCACTTAAATAAAAATGAAATGATACGATAGGATGTTATGATATTTTTTACTGAACGTTAGAGTTCCATTTCCATCGAAGCTTTTTATAAATATACCTATAGGGTCAAAGACTAGTCGGACTTGCTTTTTCTAAACCCCTAAGGCACAGAATAAATAATAGTACTACGTACAGAAGTTGCACTTCTTTGATTTTGACAATTTTTCCACGTTTCTATAGCTTAGATAATTATTATTAATTAGATAAATGACTCACGCAAGCTAAAGTAAACTCTATTGCTGCGCGCGAGTGTCCGTATGACTTTTTATCTTTTTGCTTTCCTACGTCACCGACGATATACAGTGGTAATCATTTTCGTAAATTATTATTTCATTAAATATATTTTCAAAATGGTTAATTAATGTATTTTCTATGATATACTAAATATAAATATGAAATATACTAAAACTTATAAATCTATTTTATCTTATAACTAAATAAACTAAACAATCAATAAAAGTATTTACACAAGCATTTACAAAAAAATCTATTTACGTAAACAGTGTTAAAAACTTTGACATTCACTAGTAAGTCGCTTGCCTAAATCGCCCTAGCCCTGACTATGTAATCTGAGCGTATGTAATCTGAGATTCCGCTTGATTGTAGGTATTTATGTCACGTAGGTAGCAGGAGCCACAGATGCCTGCTTATGGTGTTTCATCGCAGCATATCAGCACTCCTTAGTAGGTGTGAATTGGGGCTTCTGCGTCACTTGCTCTCGCATTCGCTTGAGCTACATGCCGCTAAAGACCCCAATTCTCTCCAGAGAAGTACAACATTTTTAGTTTAACCAAATTAACGTCTAGATACTCACATTTCTATCCTGCGGGAACAAGTCTACTTCCACTTCCAGTTGAGTTATTAAGCATTATATTCAGAGCGTTTGCGAGATACTGATGGTATTGCCGCATCTATATGATTAATTTCTAATAATAAAACTTGTTTAGCCTAATTTCATTGTGGTTAGTGCTAATAAATGTTTTTAAGCTTTTGCATAGCTTTTATCGAGGGCTTTGAGCGCGGCGACTGAATCAAGAAATTCCGTAACGAAAAAAAAACCTAAGACCCAAAACCTAACATTACAATAAAGATATTAATTAATTTGCATCCACCCGCTAACTAAATAAAATGATGTGTCTTACCTGGATTGAAGAGCGTCTCCCACCCTCCCCCTCAATTGTTTCATTATTGTTTTATTCTCATAGCGAGTGCACGTTGATTACAACGCTCGTCAAATATCATATATATTGGTGAGTTTAATAATTTTTTTTACTATTTAGAAATTCAGCCGCCATTACCTTTTTTTTTGACTTCATACTTGTTTTTGTTAATTGCAGATCATGGTCAACACTGAGGAACACAATGATTCTATTCTTATCACTAATCCGTATTACTATGCACAGGATGTGGGTAAATTTACACTAAATTATTACAACCGAAAGGAGCAGCTTCACGATTTACCACCAAATAGAATAGCTATTAATGACGAGCGGCAATCGAAATCAAAGAAATGTTACAGGAAGAGAAACCGGTCTCAAGAATCATCATCATCATCATCATCATACATTATCCGCCGAGAAAAAGATAAACGAGGTCATCGTCTGATTAAAATCAGCATTTGCGAACTTAGAGCAAGAAGAAAATGTCATCCACGATCTTAGTGCTAATATAAGTGTTCAATATGTTGTGGATTCAATGTATGATGAAGTGTTAGATGCTACAAATTGTCTTATAAAAAAAATAGGTGAAAAATTATGTGAGAACTAGTAATTTAAGTAATATAGCTTGTAAAATATAATAAAAGTTATAAATTGAATGTTATTGTTGTTTTATTATGTGTCGTTATTATTCAATTGTGTAGAAGAAAAAAGAAAAGACATTTATTGTTACTACGAATGTATTTATTAAAACTAATTATTTCGATTTTCGATTTTATCTGAATTTGAATTTAAATGTTTTAGTTTTTATTTCAATTTGTTGTTTTGTTCTAAGAAACATAATACCTTCGTTGGCTAAGCTTACTGTTCATTAATTTCTCATCATCATCATTCACAAGTCCACTGCTGTACATAGATCTCCCCCAAGGAATGCCAAAAGGCACGTTCCTGAGTTAACTGCATCCATTGACTTCCTGCATGTCTTACCAGGTCGTCACTCCATCTAATAGGAGGACATTCTACACTTTGTCTGCCACTGACTGTGTCGAGCGGAGAGAAGTGACACAAGTAGGGGAGGATGAGGTGCTGCCTACGGTCCGCGAGTACGATAATGCGCCGAACATTTCTAGACATGATTATTTTTCAACATATTACGTGTCTTTGAGGTAAAACCTAACATTTACTAAGTTAATGCTAGTAAAAGTCCGAAATTAACGATTCCGAACGATCGGAGAACAGTTCTGACTTTTACCGTTAAGACTTGGTAAATCATAGGTTTTCCTGGAAAATCTTAGGATTTACCATAGTTCTAGCTTTTACAGTAACATATATAATTATAACAATTATCGGGTATTTTCAAATCCTGTGTGAACCTTTGAACGCATTAAAAATTTATTTTTATCATGTATGACACACTTTATCGGCGTTTGATAAAGTTATTGTGTGAAAAAGCTCTAACATTTCGTACTCGTAATTCTAAATCCGCCATTGAAAATTATCGTCTTACTTCTAATTGACCTCAATTTGAAGGGTTATTATGGTTATGAAAATTCAACATATGTGTTGAAGGCAATACCCAATCGTTATATTTTGGACTAGTTGTTCCCCGAGAATTGGAAATTATTGCGATTGGATTACATTGGATTTCATGGGTATTAATTTTTTGCGAGGAACCCTAATTCTTTTCCTAAACCAAAAGAAGCCTAAGTTACTCCTTATAACATCAGCTATCTGCTATTTAAGGTCCCATCCAAATCGGTTTACAGATTTTTGCGTGGTGCGTGTTCAGAAAGACGTCCTGTTAGAGTTTTATTATAGTGAACAATAGATAATTCCACAAATATCCATTCTTCGACAAAGTAATTTTTTTACAGAATTAGAGTGACAAACGAGCACACAGTCCACCTGATGGTAAGTGGTTGCTGTGACCCATAAACATCTATATCTATCCTTAATAAAGAATCAAAATGCATATGCGTGCGATTATTCAGTAAAAAGGATCTCCAGTTTCTACATTCACCATACGAAATACAGCAGTGTTAAGTTGCTATTTTGCGCTGGTATTCTGTGAGAGCGTGGTCCTTCCCCGGTCGAGACGTCCCATTTGTGCTACAACTACTATACTACTAATATAGCTGCAGCATGGCTCTACCACGTATAATTGTCATATTGTGATAATAACACTAAGCAAGCTATTCAGCTTTTACCCGCCAATTCGTTCCTCGTGATATTCAACCATAAGTAGGGTTACTATATGCAAGGATTAGACCTGACATGTCAGGTTTTAGGCGCTTGTCAGGATTGTGCTCGGATTTTAAAAATGTCTGGAGTTTTCGATAAAATACAGTAGATTTTTTTAGACATTTATTAGAAAGCTATAATCATAGAATAGAATAGAATCATTTTTATTTAATATAGGTTAACCCATCTTCGCCTTCTTATCTTAAGAGTAAATTTTACTATCTCTCCTTGTCCCACAATGGGTTTCTAGGTTTTCCTTCTAAAAACAAAATCTGTATTTCTTTCCATTTCACCGATTTCTATGATAACCCCTTCACATTTCAGGCCACACGTCTTTCGAACTCCTTGCCCGATGACATCAGAAAAGCTCCCAATAATTCTGCTTTTAAAAATTTGGTACATAATCAGTTACTAAAAACAACGCTACTTACATGAATCATCAATGTCATACACGTACACCCACGTCAAATTCTCACCACTCCATGGGTTGACTAGTAGAGAATTCCGCACGGCATCAAAGTCTTGTTTGTCTTGTTTTGTGTAAGAAATGCAATAAAGAATAAATAAATAAATGGTTTGTACAAATTGCAGTGTATTTGTACGGTGGTGCCGTCTGTTATCAAAGATATAAAGTAGATAATATTATATGGTGTTACTAAATTAAAATTGGTTTATATTTTAGATAACCTATCCAGGCGGAGTGGAAGTGGAGGAAGGCAATGAGATTACTCCAACACAAGCGAAGGATCAGCCCACTGTGTCGTGGGACACTGAGCCGAATGCCTTCTACACTATCGTTATGATTGGTACGTGTAGCAGTAACTTTCTCGGATGGAGGTGATCAAGCCGTGGTCGCTCAAGGACTAAGTGGTTGTCGTAAATTTCACATTTGAGCAGCCCAGATTCCATTCCTGCCGACATAAATGAAATAATTAATTGCAATTTTAAGTGTTGATTTACGTGGTAAAGCAGCTATCTTATGGTGAAGAGGTCAGCTCGACCGGGGAAGGACCACACTCTCACAGAATACCAGTGTAAAACAGCAGCTTAATGTTGATCTGTTTCAAACGGTGAGTGTAGAGAAACGGATACCCTTTTTACTGGAAACGAGGCATTTCCACCTTAGTCCTCAAAGGTTTTATAGTATAGGGTAACGAGCACACAGTCCACCTGATGGTAAGTGGTTGCTGTAGCCCATAGACATCTACATCTATCCACAATAAAGACTCAAGATGCAGATGCGTTGTCACCCGTGAGGACTAAGATGGAATGCCTCTTTGCCAGTAAAAAGGGTCTCCGGTTCTCTACACTTACCATACGAAACACAGCAGCGTTAAGCTGCTATTTTACCTTTGAGGACTAAGGTGGAAATGCCTAGTTTCCAATGCATCTGCATTCTGATTATTAATCGAAGAAAGATCATGTAAGGTCAATGGGCCTCGTACCCAGCTATGGAACGTTAAGCTGTAATCTTTAACAAGATTAAACAGATGTATCACTATCACATGGTAAAAAGAGGATACCTGCGCAATTTCTTTCGCCGTTTCTTCTTTCGTCAGTGGAAGCCCACTTCGAAACGACGTTTGACGAACAAAATTTTATTTTCTTACGTCGAAGAAATAAATAAATTTTATTCCATTCGTTTCAAATGTATTTCATTTCATGTTTCGTCATCTCTCTGCTTCCAGACCCTGATGCGCGAAACCGTGAATGGCAACACTGGCTGGTGGGCAACGTTCCTGGATCGGACGTTTCTAAAGGCGACGTCCTCGCAACATACGTGGGCGCTGGACCGTCACCAGGCACCGGTCTACACCGATACGTCTTCCTTGTCTACAAGCAACCGGACAAGATTGAATTCGACGAGGAGCGCCGGCCTAACGTGTGAGCAGTTTGATTTAAACACTTATTTGCCTAGCGTTCTCAGAAAAGATTGTGACAGCGAGGGTTTGTTTGATAAGCGGGCTCATATTCCACCTGATAGTAAGTTGTCTCTGCAACTTGTAATAATCCTCACATTATGAGGATATTCCTGATAACTTGCCTACCATTTCTGATAAGAGTGGCAACCATAGAAAATATTCCCCATAGGAGGCAATCCATGAGACTACGTTCAGCACTAGACTTTTGCAGTAAATTAATGAATGATGATTGAAGCAAGATTACTGGGGGGTGGTGATTACTCATAACGCACAGTCCATCTTTATGACTGGTTATTATTGAGTGTGGACACAAATGATAGCCATAAACAAAGACATGGTTATAAAATACATACGGTGGTCACCTTTAGGTTGTTGCGGGGCTTAATGTTGCAATTAACAATTTTATTACATTCGACGAGGATCAAAATGTAAGACTAAGACTTAATTTTAATATTAATTTTATAATTAACGGGCTATGCAAATTATTTGATTTTTTAACTATAACTAATTGATTATAGTTCCCCAGACGGGCGCTTGGGTTTTTCGATTGCAAAATTTGCGGAAAAATACAACTTTGGCAAACCAGTGGCCGGCAATTTCTACCTGGCGCAGTATGACGACTACGTACGCTTGCTCAACAAGGAACTTGGCGATTAAACGTGACATTATATTGCGAGCCCTGAATTCTTAGCAATATTAAATACTGAATTTTGTAACTACAAGTGAAGTTGTGCTTTACAGCCAGTTAAAAGCAAATGCAATGTATTCAGGGTATTATATTTAAATAAAAAATAATTTACAAAAATACTGATGTAATCGGTGATTTTGAATTCCTTAAATTTGTTCTTGGATTAGTTTTCTTTTTCTCTTAGATTGTAAGAAAAAGTTACAATTATATCACTATATATGTACATCAGAAGTTTGTTTTATTTGTCAAATCCATTATGTTGATTTTTGTTTTATTGGGAGGGTAGAAAAATATAAAATAAATAATCTGTATTATGAAGAATAAATGACGTAGAAATGCGGTCATTAAAGTGTATGTTAAGGCTGAATCAGAATGACAGGATGAGAAATTGTGTGATAAGAGAAGTGTGCAATTTGCAAGATAATGTTGTGACTGATGGCTATCCGAGTACAGAATCAGAGTACGAAACGTATGCAGCTGCAGAGAGGTGTAAGACAGGGTGACATTATATCCCCGATACGCAAGGCAAAGTGGTAGATTATACTCTTCTGTCTTCTGTACAATTTGCCGAAGGGTGTGTATGTGGTCCATGGTACTAAAGCCTTTTCAGAAACCGGTTTGTTCGGGAGGCTGGAAGTCGTCAAGTCTGCGTGCGAGACGATTCGTAATGACTCTAGAAAACAGCTCGTAGACACGGCTCAGAAAGGAAATCGATCTGTAGACTCTAAGAGAGCGTTGTCACCTTTCTTGAAGAACAATACCACCGCAATTCTGCTCCACGCCTCCGGTGTAATGCCACCATGGAGGACGGAATTAAAGAGCTTCTGAAGGACTTCAAGTACTGGTTTTTACCCAGCTTTCAGAAGCTCCGCTGTAATTCCATCCTCGTCCGGGGAGTTTCCGTTTTAAAGGTGCTGGAGAGCCATTCTAATCTGGCTCAGACTGACGTCTGGGATATCATCGGAATAGTGTTGGATAAGACTCGCTCTTGGATCGTTACTCACACTTGCGTGTGGCTCCAACGATGACGTGTACAGATGCCCATAGAACCTCTCAATCTCACTCAAAATCTCAGGTGTCCCGGAAACGTTGCTGCCACACTCGATCATCAGCTTTGACAGATGGCTCTTTCTGGCAGACAGATCTCTGGCAAAGACTTTGGAGCCTTGGTTCCGCTTGATCACTTCTTCAATACAAGCTGTATTGAAGTTGCGAAAGTCCCGCCGCATGCATTTTGAGATCTGTCTGTTCAGTAGCCTGTATGCTGTCAAATCTGTTGAAGACTGCAGCTTCATCTCCCGTCTAACAGCCATAAAATTAAGAGTGTGATCGGAGAGTTTTTGTGTTCTTCTGCGGCGGGTCTTGCAAAACTTAGCTCCGACCGCATGGACAGTTTCCACAAGCTTGTCATTCATATCGTCCACTTCATTGCAGTCTTCTAGGTACTGAAAAAGGTTTTTTAACTTGAGCTGAAAGGTTTCGGTACTTTGGAATAGAGCACAAGGGGGACGGAGTGTTGACTTCATTAGATGAGACATCTCCAACTTAACGTTTAGGTTCAGTGTGCCTCTAACCATGCGATGATCGCTACCAGTTTTCACCCTCGCGATCACGGAGACATCACAGAACAATTGTCGTCTGGTCGTCATAATGAAGTCAATCAAATTTATTGTCGAACCGCCGGGGTTCGACCAGGTCCACTTCCTGTGGTGCCGCTTCTGGAAGAAAGAGTTCATCATAAAGAGCCTCTTTCTCCATGAAGTCGGCCAGCTGCTGGCACCTTGGGTTCCGTTGCCCTATTCCAAATTTCCATACTTTCAGCTCACCGTTCTCTCTTGTGACTAGTTTTGTATGACCTTCAGCGAATACCGCTTGGTGATTCTGAGTATAAGGTACGCAACCCTCGTCGATACACTCAATCTTTACAACGTTGTTAACGAGAGACTTGTGGACGATAAATCCGACACCTCCTTGGGACAGATGGTCGCCCTCTCGGAGATAGAGCAAGTTGCCGGATTCGAGGATTACCGTGTCCTCCCACTCTTCGGACCTCGGATAATCCTATAATATACTAGCGTAACTTGTCTATCTCTTCTTCCAGCTCCACGATCTTCTCGTCAGTCCTCAGGGTGCGTGCGTTGTATGTTGCCAGGTCGAGTCGTCTTAGGTGGCAAACGAACCTCCACCGGAGATTTTTAGCACCCCCTGCCACGCCGTTACAATGGTCGCAACCGTAGCCAGGAATAGCCGGGGACTGGGGGCCGTCTCTTTGTTACGTTAATCATGGGGGGGGGGGGGGGGTATTTGGAATAGTTGCCACGCTTTGCGAGTGGGTTGGCAACCGCAGTTTTTTTATTGAAATTTTGCTGTTATCAGGAAGATGCTTTTTTTTTTTTTTTTTTTATATGAGAGGGGGCAAACGAGCATGCGGCTCACCTGATGGTAAGTGACGACCGCCGCCCATGAACAACCGCAACACCAGGGGAATTGCAGATGCGTTGCCGGCCTTTTAAAAAGGAGTAGGCTCTTTTCTTGAAGGTCCCTAAGTCGTATCGGTCCGGAAAAATCCCTGGTGGTAAACTATTCCACAAGGAAGTTGTGCGAGGAAGAAAACATCTTCTAAATCGCACAGTGGTGGACCGCCAATCATCCAGATGGTGTGGATGGTATCGGGAGTTCTGCCGCGATGTGCGTTCGTGAAATTTGGCGGCTGGGATTAATCCGAACAATTCCTCAGAGCACTCCCCATGGTAGATGCGAATGCTGCTGCCCATATCTTGCCTGTTTACCATTTTCGCCTCTTACAACACCCACGGGAAGAAATGGAGTAGTGGATATTCTTAACCGCCACTACACGGTACTAGATAGGCCAATATTGAATATGGGCTAGATAAAATGTATTCTCAACCGATAGGCATTAATACGTAGGTATATGGATGAAAAGAAGGAGAGTGAATTATCAAGGTCGTGCCAAATGGAAGTCTATAGTCTCTGCCTACCCACCTGTGTGACTGACATGAGTGTTTATGTCATGTTACATATGTAATAGAAAATAAAATAAATGTTATAGATGATTGTAGAAAATAAAGAGACAAACGGAAGGGAGGGTAGATATCGAAACCTCCACTCGTTCTAAGAGTATAAAGTAAGGCTCTGTCTGGTAAGTCTGGTAGCTCTGCCTATAGCTGAGCTACTATGACTTGTTTGGTAGAACCTACCTAATTATTTTTTAATATTTCCGAAGAGTCTGATAAAACGATTGTGTCATCTACTTTAACCTGCATTGATGCTTCTAATTCTAATGTTATTTCGTATGTAGGGCTGTAAATTATCGGGATTTGTGTATTACGCGTTTGTAAAATTTGATTTTTCCTATGCTGCGTCAATACTACAGATGTAAAATTTATGTTCTAATGACTTTAATAATGTTTTAATAACCTAAATGTTTTTAATAATACTATAAAATAAAATAAAATAATAAAATAAAAGTTTATTTCTTTAACAAGGTTTGTCTTAAATCTAGTACATAGGTTGACTTATTATTTTAAGTGCATTTGCACCTGTGTCAGAAGGAGTCACTCTTCCATATCACATTAGTTGTACTTACGAGTATCAGTGAAGAATTAGTTGTTAACTAATTCTTCAACAACTTATCTTTATATATTCTATATATCAAGAAATTGCAACAGGAGATCCCACTCCTGATGTCGGAGAATTACAACAGAGGATTCCAATTTTGATCTCGGAAATACATCAGGATAGCATTAATTGTTAAGAATAATAAAAGTGTGAGAGCGGATGTTCAACTTGCTCTCTTGCTTACTACGCAGTTTAATCATTATCAGTAATAAGACAACGTAACGCACTATACATTCAGTATAGTGAAATTACAGTTCGACCACACCGTAACACGTCTCCGCTACAATCACATACCAGTGTAACGCGAGGTACGTAATTACATGATAACACCAAAATATGTAAACCAACAGCAACACTACTTATCTCAGTGTAACACAGGGCAGCCTCTCAGCAACACCAATCCTCCTTGCCTGCACTAGAAGAATTACAACAAAGAACAGAACCACGTCACTATATTAACACTAGTAGAATGACCACACTCGTTGAATGACTTAAGCGGAATCTCTCGCGCACGGCACCTACAGTGAACTTTATACTGCACAAACAAGTGGGAGTTTCTCGATATACCCTCCTGTCCACCTCGATCCAAGTGATATTTTATAGTACATATATCTGAAATACGACTGTCCTCGAGCGTGTATCTTTATGCATTCCTGTAACAAACACCAATTCGTCCGTTCGTCCATCCTGACATGAGTGGGTACATATTATTAGTTCGGAAAAAAATTGTTAGATGGCGCTGCTTGTTGCACTATGGCGCCATCAATTCACGACACGGCCATTGCTGACTAGCATCCGTCCTCGGTTGCAGTGCCTGGAGACAAAATTTGCTCAGTGATTAATCTAGCTCGGCTATTCCACCAATAGAAACAAGGTCGATTCAAAATGGCACTTCACTTCTCCTAAGTCTAAGTACAATAGTCAACTGTCATAATTGACAATACCTTGTATTAAGGCTTTTTACACAGTGCTTCCTGCACAACATGATTTATTGTGAAAGGTCCGATCAACAAGTTACAACACAGTAATTCTAACAATTTCGTTACTATTTACCATAATTTATAAGCAACGAATACTCAACTCGTGAAACTTTCATTGAAATCTGTGCATCAACGCAGGCCAGAATTGCACCAACGATTCTCTACATATCCGCCGCCAAACATGCTACAACACATGGGGGGTTCCGTGCACCTACACATGCCAGAATCGCACTAACGATTCTTTACATATCTGCCGCCACATATGCCAGAATCGCACCAACGATTCTCTACATATCTGCCGCCAAACATGCTACAACACATGAGGGGCGCTGTGCTCCAACACAGACAAG